TCAATGTCATTTTTCTGTAAAATGCCTACATTTCACATGTAAAATACATATTTTTCTTTTGTGGACCCAAAGTGCACAAATTCAGAGAAGTGTGTAATCTGACTGATAGCTGCATTCACCAGCATGAATTTTGAATTGGATTGGTGTGCTACACAAAGGGGAACAAATAGAACCCCCTTCCAACCCTACTTGTAGGGAACGGGGGAGGGGGAGAATAATAATAATAATTGGTCCTTTCAACAACTCACATTGAATTATTGTAATTCTCTAAAAAGTATAATTTTGGGAGCAAAGCATGGGTGGCTTGCACATCTCTGCCAGGAACATATCAATTAGACCCACAGATCATTAGCGTGCTATGCTTGTGGGCCAAAATGGAACACTAATAGCATGATCTTACTCGGCAGTAAGTCCCATTTAGTTCAATGGATTTACTCACAAGGAAGTGTCCAAAGGATTTCAGCCTCAGACAGCTCAGTACTTTGTGGCACATTTTCTGCCAAAGCCACAGCAGAATATAAGCATCTAAGTGTTATCTGCATCATCCTTAATTTGAACTCATGTTACTCACCACTTAAAATATGAATGCTTAGGCTGATGAAAATTCTTAAAGTAATCCTGCTTCACTGCACTTAAAAGTTTTGCTGTTCAAAATAGTAATTCAAATGAAAATTGCTGGAAAGGAAAAATTAATGTTAATGTACTGAAGATCACCGAGTACTTTGTGTTGATGTGGCATGGAAAATATTTGGCTTCAGAAAAGCTTTGCACTGGTGTGCATTTTTTCTGTACTCTGAAAAGCTGCTTGTCAAACAATAATGTTGATAACACAAAGTCAGTTGTCACAGGCTAGTTTACCACACCTCTCAATTACTTGGATGTAAATCTCACGGCTCCGTAAATAAAAGGTTTCAACGACAAAAGTGACATTCGCTTTAATAGAAACTTTCTGCAGACAGGCTTGAAGTGGCAGTTTTATCTGCATCATAGTATTTAAAATATTGCACATGTATGATGCGCACATAATACACATTGATGATGATGTACATATGCAGTGTTGTATTGCCTCAAAATCAGAAGCTGAAGTACTCCATGGAGATAGACTTTCTGATAACCACACCACTCAGAGGTGGGACTTGTATTCCAAAGGTTCTTTTAGATATAAAAATGAAGTTCAATAAAAAATAAAGAGCTAATGCCCAGATCTAATTACCAACTATCTAAGTAAGGCAATGGCACTTTAAAAGAAACCTAATTCTACAAACATGGGTTGGCAACTGGGATTTTTAACAACTTAACCTTTGTACTGCAGCTAAAGGCAGATGTGAAGCTCCTAAATAATGCCAGTCATAAGATGAATAATTTAATACAATTTAGCATAATGTTAAAAAACAACAATTAAAAGCCATGGGCAAAGTTCCTGGCCTTCCTGAAGCTTTAAAAAATGATGTCCACTTTGTAGCAAGAAATGTAAAAGCATAATCACATAAAGGCTTGCCTTTACAAATTTCTTAACCTATTTCTGTGTTCGTTCTCAGTGGAACTACTGTGAAGAAATAGGCAACTTCTGCTTTGATCCAGTACAGGTGATCCGTGTGTGTGGAGAGATCTCCTGGTGAAACATTGCATGCACAGAATGGTGTGACATGTGTCATTCTTATACCCTCCAACATGTTGCTGTGGAAAACCAGGATGGTCATGAAAATATATATAAAGAGGTAGATTCATGTGAAGTTTTTCCTGATCTGTAACTGTCAGGTATACCCTGTATATATATGGGCAGGTGTTTGTGTGCTCTTGTTTTCAGAAATGCCCTCCAAGACATGACTCCTCATGGAGAAGGATTCAGCATAGCTTTCCTCCTATCATGTGATACAACAGGCTTCTTTGGGAAGATTAAGTTTTAACTCCCAACATTTACTGCTCCCCCATACATAAACGTGATATTAAAATAATTTAGTCCAGAAAAGGCTTTACCACTTAATTCTGCTGTTTGAACAAACTGATCCCAAGACCAGCTGCAGACTACGATCAAGAATAATGTTTCATTTCCCAGTCTTTGCCACTGCTGCATATTTTATTTATCCCACTGTGATACACATTATTATGTAAGTTGCAAAAGACAGCTTTCATTATATTCATATGATGCCTTTAGTGGTAAAATAATGTTTCTCTTAACCTGAGATCACTGACATCTATCTAGCTATCTAGCTAGCTATCTCTATCATCTATCTATCTATCATCTATATCTGTAAACAAGTTTCTCCCACAACAAAAACTGGAAGTTTAAGAGTTACTGTTATATAACTTTCTCCTGCAAGGTTCTTCCAGGACAGCAAAGCCCTTCCAGAACATCACGATTCATTCCTTTATTTTTCACCATTAGCTGAAATAAAACTGAATGCCCCTACCCCGCTAAATAAATTAGAGACTTATGAAATATAAAAAGCACTAGGAGCCAGAGACCTGAACTAAATGTATCAACCAGAATTAGAAAATGACCCCTGAATCCTGAATATGACATCGTTCCTACCCCCTCCCAACCCCACAAAGAAGCAAACAAACCTATCAGCAGCCTTTACACCCCAGTCATCAAAGCACATGGAACAGTGTCCGAGAGGTTGTAACATTAGGTTTTCTGATAACAAACTGATGCGCTCATCAGCAAAGGGTTGCACAGCTGCTTGGCTATTGCTAGTGTTTAATAGTGGACTGGGATGCTATGAATACTTGTGATTTTCTGTTCCCAAAGCAAAAACTACACATTCACTGTCGTGGATAAAGAATTCATAGAAGCAGCAAGTTTGCAAATTGCTTCATTGTATTCACAAGCAAAAAACAGCTCATGGGCAATAGCCTAGTATGGCAACTTTCATTCTTTCATTTCATTGGCCTTTCTTCCAAAGAGGTCAAGGTGCATACATAGTTTTTGCTCCATACCTACAACCCTCTAATCCTCACAAGAAATAACCCTGTGTGGTAGGCTGAGAAAGAGAATACAGCCAGGCCAAGGTCCCTCAGGGAGCATCATATTTTGACACGTTTGCCGACAGAGCCTAGGGCTTGCCGATCAGAAGGTCGGCGGTTCGAATCCCCGCGACAGGGTGAGCTCCTGTTGCTCGGTCCCTGCTACTGCCAACCTAGCAGTTCAAAAGCATGCCAAAATTGCAAGTAGATCAATAGGTACCGCTCCGACGGGAAGGTAAACGGTGTTTCTGTGCGCTGCTCTGGTTCGCCAGAAGCGGCTTAGTCATGCTGGCCACATGACCCGAAAGCTGTACGCCGGCTCCCTTGGCCAGTAAAGTGAGATGAACACCGCAACCCCAGAGTCGTCCGCGACTGGACCTAATGGTCAGGGGTCCCTTTACCCTTACCTTTTACTTTTTTTTTTTTTTTTTTTTTATATTTCAAAAATTTTATTGATTTCCCATTTTTTAAACAGTATATCCATATTTCAATATATCTCATACATTTTGAACTTCCTTCAGCGTCATTGACATTCATTCGTATTTATATCTTTAAAACACATTCCATTCTTTCATATTGCCATTCGTTCCTTCCTTCATACATTATTTCTATTAAACAATACTTATTAATTCTTTACAGTGCCTCTTTAAATCCCACTAGCGTTGTATTTACAAAACATTTATTCTCCAGATAACCCACAAATTTCCCCCAGTCCTCAATAAACTTTTGATCCTTAGTATATCTGATTTTCCCTGTTAATTTATCCAACTCAGCGTATTCTGTCAGTTTTACTCTCCACTCTGCTATCGTTGGGATTTCTTCCTGCTTCCACTTCTGAGCTATCACAATTCTGGCTGCCGTTACCGCATACTGGAAGAGTTTGCAATCCTTCCTTTTGATATCCTTTCCCACAATGCCTAATAAAAAGGCTTCTGGCTTTTTTACAAAAGTGTAACTTAACATCTTTTTCATTTCGTTGTAAATTTCATCCCAGAAGCTTTTAACTTTCTTACACTCCCACCATTGATGATAGAAAGTCCCTTCCTTTTGTTTACATTTCCAGCATTTGTTATCTGCCTTATACATCTTAGCCAGTTTTACAGGTGTCATATACCACCTGTAAAGCATCTTCATCACATTTTCTCTCAGTAACGTGCATGCCGTAAATTTTATGTTCACTCTCCATAACTTTTCCCAATCCTCTAGTTGAATGTTATAACCGAAATCCCTTGCCCATTGTATCATGACAGATTTTACTTCCTCATCCTTCGTGTTCCACTCTAACAATATTTTATACATTTTTGACAGGTTTTTATATTCGTTGTTTATTATCTCTTTTGAAATTCCGATTCCTTTTCCTCGTAACCCCTTTCCTTCACCTCTTCTTTAAACATTTCATTTATCTGAAAATAGTGCAGCCAGTCATATGTAAATACTTTAACCTGATCGTATGATTTTACTTTCCACTTCCCTCCTTCATTAGTAACCATTTCTCCATACTTTCCCCACTTTTCTCTCATATTAACTTTCTTTACACTTATTATCTCCAACGGGGATAGCCAATGTGGGGTTTTCGGTTCTAATATATTTTTATATCTGTCCCAGACCTCTATTAGTGGACCTTTAAAGATGTGGCTACAAAATTCTTTATGCACTCTCTTTTTATCCCTCCATAGATACGCATGCCACCCAAATCTATTATTGTGCCCTTCCAAATCTAGTAGTTCTTTATTCTCCAGCTTTACCCATTCTTTTATCCAACACAGACATGCTGCTTCGTAATACAGTCTCATGTCTGGTAGGGCGAAGCCCCCTCTTTCTGTTACATCTGTTAATAACTTAAACTTAATTCTAGGCTTCTTTCCTTCCCAGACGTATCTAGAGATCACCTTTTGCCATTCTTTAAAATTTTTTGTACCTTTTAATATGGGTATCGTTTGAAATAAAAATAACAACTTTGGGAGCACCATCATTTTGACCATAGATATTCTTCCCCAGAATGATAATTTCATCCTGGCCCAGACCTCCAGATCTTTTTTAATTCCATTCCAAACCGGGGTGTAGTTATTTTGGTATAAATCGATGTTTTTGTTGGTAAGCCAGAGTCCCAAATATTTAACCTTTTAACAACCTCAATTTCGGTTCGTTGCTGTACTAATTCAATCTTATCCTGATCTAAGTTTTTAACAATCATTTTTGTCTTACTCTTATTCAATTTAAATCCTGCTAGCTTCCCAAATTTCTCCATCTCTTCCAAGATCTCCCTTATACTCTCTATAGGTTCTTCCACTGTTAGGACCACATCGTCTGCGTAGGCTTTAACTTTGTACTCATTTGAACCTAATGTTACCCCTTTAATTTGTTTATTTTGTCTTATTGCATTTAGTAAGACTTCCAAAACCACAATAAAGAGCAGCGGCGAAAGCGGACATCCCTGTCTTGTTCCTTTGGATATTTTTATATCTTCAGTGATGATATTATTAATTATCAGTCTCGCCTTCTGTTCTGTGTAAATTGCCTTTATGCCATTTAAAAACTCTTGGCCCACCTCCATAATTTCCAAATTTTTTAACATGAAATCCCAGACTACATTATCGAAGGCTTTCTCCGCATCTACGAAGATTAGACTGGCTGGTTTATCACATCTATCAGAAAGGTATTCAATTAAATTAACTATACTTCTTGTGTTATTTCTTATTTGCCTGCCCGGTAAAAAACCCGCCTGGTCTTCATGTATAATTTTTGTTAGTATCTTTTTAGTCTTTTGGCTAGGATTCCAGCAAAAATCTTATAATCCGTATTTAATAAAGAGATAGGTCTGTAATTCTTAACTTGGGTTAGATCCGAGTCTTGCTTTGGAATTATTGTGATAAATGCCTCCTTCCATGTGTCTGGGATATCTCTTTCCTTTAGGATGTTATTCATCACATCAATTAACGGAGTCATCAATGTATCTTTCATTTCTTTATAATAGCTCGATGTAAACCCATCTGGGCCCGGTGCTTTCCCTCTTTTCAATTCTTTTATCACTTCTTCTACCTCTTCTCTATATATTGGGGCATTTAGCTGTTCCTTTTGATCTATCGAAATCTTCCTCACCATCTTTTCTTTTAAATATCTTTCTATTTTTTTATATTGTTCCTTTCTTTATTCCTATATAGTTGCTCATAAAAATCCACGAATCCTTTTCTAATTCCTTTCGGGTCAGTTGTTTCTTCTCCATTTATTTGTATTTTGCTGATTGTATTTTGTTCGTTCCTCCTTTTAACTTGCCAAGCAAGCCATTTTCCTGACTTATTGGCGAATTCAAAATTTTCTGTCTTAACCTTTTGATGTTCCACTCAACCTCTTTATTTATTAACATAGCAAATTGGGTTTGGAGGGATTTTATTTCCTGCATTATCCTTTCATTGTTCGGTTTTTAATCAATTTTTGTTCATTGTCCATAATCTGTCTCAGAATCTCTTTTGTCCTTCTTTCTTTGTTTTTTCTTTTCCACACATTTTGTTGAATAAAAAGGCCCCTCATTACTGCCTTACTTGCATCCCATACCACACTTATTTTCACCCCTTTATCTAAATTATCCAAAAAATATTCAAATAGTTTCTTCCGTATTTTTCAACGAACTTTTGATCATCCCATAGGTTATCATTCAGCCTCCATCTGAAAGTTCGTTCTTCAGCTCCCTTCATCTCCATTTCTATTGGGTTATGATCAGAAACAACTTTGGCCTGGATTTCAATTTTTGAATTCTTGGTGTCAATTCATTTGATATCCATATTTGATCTATTCTTGACATTGATTGGTTCGGTTCTGAGTGATATGTAAATTGTTTCTCCAGAGGGTGCCTAAGTCTCCAAATATCTATTAAATTACAATTCTTGGTCATCATAAAGAATGTCTTAGGTAACTTTCCTTCTTTGTTCTTCGTTTTCCTTAATCTGTCCATTTCAATTGAAACCACCCCGTTCATGTCTCCCATTATTATGATTTTTTGGTCCATATGTTCAAATAGCTTCTCTTCCAATAATCTAAAGAACTCTGTTTTGTTTCCATTTGGTGCGTAAATCCCGATTATTATCAATATTTCACCTTGCCATTTAATACGAACCGCTATTATTCTTCCTTCCTCATCCTTAAATAATTGGTGAGATTCAATTTTATTTTTAATGTAAAGTACTACACCTCTTTTTTCTCTTTATACGCAGATATGAATTCATTCCCTAACCTCTTATTGATAAGAATTTTCCTGTGCTTCTTGGCCACATGTGTTTCTTGAAGGCATATGATGTCCAAGTTCTTCTTTAGAATACGTTCAATTCCGTTCCGTTTTTTCTTATCGTTCATTCCATTAATGTTCCAGTTCCATAATTTTAACGTCATTTTCCTTACCACTGATCGAGTTTGAATTTTATCCTATATTCTTTCTATCTCTTCTCCTTCTTCCTCTTCTTCGTCTTCCTCAAATTTTCCTCCGTTCTGTTCTTCTTCTTCTCCCAATTCTGGTTCCTCCCTCAGTCTTAGTCCGCCCTCTGCTCCTTTAAACTCCTCCTCTCCCTGTTGAAGCTCTTTATATCTTCTTGTGAACTTTCCTATTTCCTCGGGGCTTGTCAATCTTCTTTTAACTCCTTTATAAAAGAATGAGACACCTTCCGGAAATTCCCATCGAAAGTCAATCCTATTTTTCTTAAGCAGTTGCACCAGTGGTTTATACGGTTCTCTTCGT